TTCGTTTACTATGCTTCCAATTTCTTTCTCTCGCACTTTCAGATTTCTCTTTTCAGCACTTTGAAGACACCAAACAATACTTTTGATGTGCTTGAGTGGATGGCTATTTGAAGAATTTGATTTTTAGGTATTTTGGATGAAATTAAATAGTAAAAATGATCACAGATGTTTGAAATAGTTTTTAATTGGATCAATTTGAGATCTAGACACTAATAAACTCAAAATTTTAAAATTTATAAACGTAAGTTTTCAGTGAATTTTTTTTTTCGATTTTTAGTCAAAATAGGCATTTTAGATAAGAAAATTTGTGTTTTAATTTATAAAAACATGTTAGAAATACTTTAATCAGTGTCAAATTGTCAAAAAAAAAAGTTGAGAGGATTTAAAGTTTTAGTTTGTAAGTAACAACATCAGTTTAAGCATTAAAGAATAACAAAATGTTTTTGAATATGACGTGTAACAATAATATTTTTTCGATTTTTAGTCAAAATAGGCATTTTAGATAAGAAAATTTGTGTTTTAATTTATAAAAATATGTTTGAAATACTTTTATCAGTGTCAAATTGTCAAAAAAAAAAAGTTGAGAGGATTTAAAGTTTTGGTTTGTAAGTAACAACATCAGTTTAAGCATTAAAGTGTAACAAAATATTTTTGAATATGACGTGTAACAATAATATTTTTTCAACATAGTGTGTAATAACAGTATTTGTTTTTAACATGGCGTGCAACAATATTTTTTAACCATAACGTGTAACATGTTTTTGTACAGAGCATGTAACAATAGAATTTTTTTTAACATGGTGCGTAACAACCTAACCATGACGTGTCATACGATTTAGTATATGACATATAACAACCTAACCATAACGTGTAATATGTTTCTGTACATGGTATGTAACATCATAGTATGTAATTTCATTAAAGATAATTTTGTCCAACTTAGTGAAAAATAGTTAAAATTATAAAAGAGGTTATTTTTGAAAATATCTTATCTTTTAAGGGTTATTTTTTAAAATGCCCCTAAGTTTATTGTGACAGATACGCAGTACTTGGATGAGGAAGTGTTAAAGACAAATTTCAAAGGAACTAAACCATTAACAAGGAGAGGTGAATTAAGGTTTAGTTCTTGTTAAATTCCTCTACTGAATTACGGGTTGAAGAAAGCAATCTTTATTTATTTATTTGGTTTCAAACTTACAAATTTTATGTGTTATTGCAAAAGTTTTGGAAAGAAAAGAGAAGTTGATGCAATTGGCATATTAAATGTGTTAAACCATGGAGAGAATGGAGGAACGAGTTTACTAGAAAATAGAATTGAAGCTTAGAATTAAAGATGTTGTTGGAGTTAATTGACCCTTGAAAGAAGGTAATTTGGAGGTAAGATTCCAAATATAAAACGTTAATTGAAAGCTAATACGTGATAATTGAACTTGAGCTTAAGTGTTGTATGAATAAAAATGAAGATTCAACTTGGAGAATTGGAGGAGGTGACGGGTAGAAAAAAAATATATATTAGCAAAGGAAGAGTTGGCTAGTAAAGCTTCAAACAAAATTAATATTGGTGAGAAATCCCACCATTCAAGGTGAGAAATCCCACCATTCAAGGTGAGTGGGTGCTAAATTTTAAAACTATATTCCTATAAATATTATATATGTTAAATTGGATAGTTGATAAAATTATGAAGAGCATGAGTTGATAGAAAGCCCTAGGTTGTTTGTGATTGTGACAAGAATTTTAAATCCGTTTTCCTCTATATTATACATAGGTATATATCTACCTTCTTTAAAATACAGGGAAACAAACCTTTGACTAGCTTTTCACTGCAAAATCATGCCTTGCAAGTTTATGTGATGTTTAGGCTAATGGCCATTACTTGAATCATTGGAATTTAATGATAAACTATCGATTTCACTTAGCATGTTGATTTGATGGATAAATCATGCCTTGAAAAAAAATATGCATAACATTCGATTTATGATTATATTGTTTTTGATCTATCATGTTTTGCAAATGCATTAAATTGCAATGGTTTTCATTTTAATGTGATTGAGATACTCGAGGTAGGACCTGTTACCACACCAGATTAACTGTGGTCTTTGTGCACAAACTAATGATTGCTGATTATCGATATTTGATTGTAAAGGGGGACTTGAAGTGTCAATTCATATTAGGTGGCTTGGACAGTTCCCATGAGTAGGTAAAAGGGGACCTAAAGCCCCGATTCATATTAGGTGGCGTGGGCAGAAGCCCTGATTCATATTAAGTACCGTGGGTAGTTCCCACGAGTAGGTAAAAAGGGACCTGAAGCCTTGATTTATATCTGGTAGTGTGGGCAGTTCTCACGAGTAGGTGATTATGTTTGAGAGAGTAAGCTTAATGGCTATATTAAACCTACCCTAGGATGATGCTCACTTGTTGATTAAACATGGCATGGCATTAACGCTTGAAATTTATTTTTAAATGGCAAGTGAAATTTATGTATTTATTGGTGACTTCTTATTGCACATTTTTGTTTGAGATTTCTCATTTATACTTGCCATTGGATTTACTGTTGAAAGGATACTGAAGTTGAAAGATTTTTCCCGCATGCTAAATAAACCATTTTCATAAGAATTTACTTATGATTTATTATTCTTAAGACTTGCAAGGTATATAAATCTCTCAGTTTAATAGAGTATGTTTTCGACACTTATTCTTGAATTTATAAATATTCCATCCTTATGTTTGTTTCCCTTCCCTGCCTGCTCACAAAGCTGATAATCACTGAATCTATGATACTCACCCATGTTATTTGATGTGCAGATAAATTGATAGTGGGGGATATCGTTGGCGAGGAATCCTTTTGTAGCTGTGTAGGTAATGGCATTTCTTAGCTTTCTTTACGTCGCTCCGCTGTCTAGTCGTCGAGTCATTTTAAAATTGTATTGAATAATGTGTTTAGAACTATTTTGAGACTAAGATCTTTAAATATTGTAAATTAAAAATGTGGAGTTATGTCATCGAAACACTTTATACTATTACTTGGTCATTATTATTTCAATGTGAATTATGGATGAGACAATGATATTGATGATTGATAAACTCAATTGGTGCAGCAATGAAAATGTGAGGAAAATAAATATAGGTGAAATAAAATACGTAAAAGGCTAGACCGGGTTGTGTAGGTTTATTTATATGACTTATGCACCGGTAACGGTCATGTGAGTTGGTTGTTACATTAAAATAGTGTAATACATATTTCTCAAAAAAAAAAATAGTGTAATACATATACTACAAATTATACTTTATAAACAAAATGTTATTTCAGTTCACTTTGCCAACTAAATTGAAATATATGTATTTAGAAAGTTGAACTTTATTTTGACTATGCAAATTAAATGGATCAACAAGCATAACCTAGTTACTAGTTGCTAGTTATCTTTCAAAAATCATAAGCATTTAGAATGATATTGTGTTTTGTCACTATAAAGAAAAAAAGTGTGCATGAGTCTGTATATGTGCCCTTGTTACTCGGTTTTTGAGATTTGTGAGCCGTAGGTTTAGGGGTGAGTAATCCGTTAAATTAGTTAAAAATAAATTCCCTTAGCCCACTTAACCGACTTTGTTTAAATATTTATCTAACCAATCAAATTTTGCACTTAACCATTTAACTGACTTAATATAGTTTTTTTTTAAAAAAAATTATTTAATAGTTTATTTTGAAAATTTGTTAACATTATATCCTTTTTCTCCTATTACCCTATCACTGCACTTACCTTGCTCATTGTGTGTTCAGGAATCCGTGTACTTATTTTGATAAGTTCAAAGACCAAGGCATTTAGTAGTATCTTCCGCTCTTGACTCACTTCACTAGTAGTTGATCCATGGTTTTGTTAATTGTCTGGTCATTTGACCTTGTTTGTATATAATCACAAATTATGAGATACGTTTGTTAATGCCTAGTGTAGGGTCATATGGACACGGGTTGGCGAACTAAAAATGTGATTATGTAATGCCGAGTACAAGTACACGGCGGATGTTTTGGCACAAGATTGTGTTTTATGTAAATAAAATGTTATGCTGTTAAACGTAGAATGCAAAATGCTATGATAATATACAGGTTGAATGCCCCTAAATGGAGACCGCACAGATAACGATATCGAGACTTGCGTGAGCTTAGTGGATTATGCACATCGGCTCCTCACTCCGACTACGGCTTGGGACAGAATCGTGACACTAGGATCTACTTTTCTTTGTCTTATACTTAATTAATTAAATGGTTGCGTTAACTTTGAGAACGAAGATCTCCTGCTCAACTTTTGTGCACCTCCATCGATGTTTCACACTCAAATTTATGCCACGTTATCAGGAATTGATTGAATCCCTTTAATTAATTGAATAACTAAAATTCCACCAGAACATTCAACTTTGAACACAACCTTTTCTTTTAAATATTTCTTTGACGAGGATAAGACTTTGATTTTAAACCGAGTATTCAAGGAACTCCTCTAGAAATACATAACTTTACATTAACAACAATTTCTGGTTGGATCCACTTTAGGATTTTAAACGTGTGAACTCCTATGCTAAATTCGTTATATATATATATATATATAAATATATATTCTTTATAAAATTAATTAAAAGTTTTATGCACAGCGCATGCGTTCATGTGCAGTCTTTTTACTTCAATATTTTAAGAGCTTCATTAAAGTTTCGTTGAGTATTAAAATATACATAAAGCATATATTCCTAATGCCACAGTCGAAGAGGATAAAACAACATTCAATTCAACGCCCATTGCTCTGCTCCTCTAGAAATGTTTTATAATCAAATCAACTGGAGTGCGACCCGGTACTTGTAGGGAATTCGGAATAGTCAGAGATCTCTCAAAAATCAATGGTCATATTCTTTGAATCTTTCTCTTTTACATTTTCTTGTTTTTTTAGTTTCCTAACATCAATCATTTCTTCCGATCGAGTAGCCAATTAAGTCAAGCAAAGAACACCAAATTCCCAACATGGCATCTTCCACCACAGCGAAAATCCTTGAGTTCACCAGAATCAAACCATTCCCTGGCTCACCAAAATCAGCTGCTGAGCTCTCCCTTCCACTCACCTTCTTCGACACTTTCTGGTTCAAACTCCCACCAGTTGAGCGACTCTTTTTCTACCAACTGAACAACTCCACCCTGCATATTTCAACTCAGTGATCCTCCCAAAACTCAAGCATTCCCTTTCTCTTACTCTCCTCCATTACCTCCCTCTTGCTGGCAACCTCAAGTGGCCATCAACTTCCCTTAAACCCATCATTTTATACACTCCAGCTGATGGAGTTTCACTCACGGCTGCTGAGTCCGCTGCAGACTTTAACCTTCTCTCAAGCAATGGAATCTACGAAGCTGTCGAGTTACACCCTTTGAAACCTGCGCTGGTAACATCAGATGATTCTGCATCAACTATGGCCTTGCAAATAACCATTTTTCCAAATATGGGGTTTTGCATTGGAATAACTGCTCACCGTGCCATTCTTGATGGTAAAACCACAACCTCTTTCATGAAATCTTGGGCCTATCTATGCAATCAAGGTTATACAGAAAACTCTCCCTTGCCACCAGAGCTAACCCCATTTCTTGATAGGAGTGTCATCAAAGATGTTACAGGGCTTGACCTTGATATGCTATACTTGAACCAGTGGCTAGCTAGTGTCGGGTCGGACTCAGTTACTAAGGACAAAAGCTTGAAGATTTTGCCAAACAAAGGAGAAGCTCCTAATCTGGTTCGAGCCACATTTAACATCAGCCCTGA